GGCCATGTCTGTTCCATACATTATATCCCCAGTGCCTAGCACAATACCTAGAAGTTGGTAAGTACTCAACAAATATTTTTCAATAATGAGTCAGTAAAAAAATAAGAGTCAGGTTCCATGGATGACATCATTTTAAGAATTGGAAAGCATTCACCAAAGTAGAAGTTTAAATGGAAGTGTTGCTAGTTTGTGCAAACATATTTGATTTAAGAGAAATCCTTGAGGACTTTTCCAGAATTTATTTCAAGGAAGTAAAGAAGATATTCTACACTCCTTTAGTTTGTATTTAGAATTTTCATATGGATGTTGAAACATCTCTTTTCACTCAAGAGAAAAATACAAAGCATGTACAACTGAAACTAAAATAATATTGAATGTCAACTGTAATTGAAAAATTAAACTCCCCAAAATATATACATTTATATATAAATTTTTAAAAAGTAAAATATGACAATAACCTAGCCATTCAAATGAAATTTTCAGTTTGTTCAGTCAACATTTACTAACTGATTCATGTATGCCTAAGCATGCTGCAATAATTGTTAGCAGTAGAAAAGTGACAAAGATGAAGCAAATAATAGATTTGTTTCTAACTAACAGTAGAGGGCTTGAGGAATACACACAGATATCTTTCAAAATGAAGAGCACAACCTAATATTCAGGTCATTGCACATGGAAATTGCAGAACAAAGCTTTAAATCAAAATTTTGATCCTATTTCAGAAATGTAGCTCTTTGCAATGTTCATATATCCAACATGCTATTGATCATATAATATACATCTGCACCTATGTAGAAACGATAGTCAGAGGTGAAATAGAATAAAAGAATAACATTGGAAGATTGCCAAACATTGAAAAAAGCAGAAGGGCAGGAAGGCAGAAAGAGTAGAGATGGGAAAAAAGAGATGGGTGGGTCTTGAGAGAGACACCCTGAATCTCACCCTTGGTACCCTAAGCCTTGGAAGAACTTGCTTTCTTCACAAATTCAGATGGGCCATTTCTCACTTGAGAGAATCTACATTGCCACAGCCTTGAAACTTACCACTGAAGACTTCTAGATGCACAGATTGACTTGGGTTAAAATTTTTGCTTTGACATTTGTACTCCCCACTGTCCTGGGTTGTGGCATCTATGATGTCCAAACGTGAATTAGTCACTGCTAACGTGGTGTTGTTGTGGAACCATGTAGTGGAGTTGACTTCAAGGAATTTGTTCCT